CTTTGGATCAGGTCCTACCTCTTTATTGCATTATTCTTTGTCTCAGGACAAAATGAAATTCCCACACCCTTATCATTATACACTGAGAAGTAAAATGCATGTTGATAGGTACTGATGGCCTTGCAAAGATTCTTATAATAAAGCCACATTAAATGTGCATAAGAACCTCCTAACAGATGGAGACAATTGGAAAACCATTGATGTTAGGAGAAAAGGACAATGGAGAAATATTCACTTTTCCAAGGCATCCTACAGAGTTAATTCCCCAACACATGCTAGGCTTTTGATCTGAGATTCATTTTATTGACCTAAAGATTAAATGACTGGGATGACGCAAGAATAATTGACAGGAAAGAGGGAAAATCGTGAGGTATTGTCAGTTGTTCTCTTGCAAAAAAAGAAACATTATGTAAATATATGCAGAGCTTCCGTCATTGAATATTATGGAAAAAATTGTGCTGTTAAAGCCAGCAAGTGTTACAGATGCTTGTTCTAGAAAAAAGGCTACCAGTTCATTACCCACTTCTACAAAAAAAACCCAACCAACCATCATGCAATAGCTTTCGAAGATTTGAAAATGTGTTTATTCCTTTCTTTGCATGTTACATAGTATAGTGTGAGATAAACACTAAATTGCCACAAGCAAGAGGAAGGGAACAAGATTAACACACTGAAATATCTTTTTCTTATTTCTGAGCTTTCTTTTTGAAATCAAATTAGCGCTGGGGAGGAGGGAAGGCAAACAAATCTACATCAAATAAGCAACAAAGGATAATCAGAAGATCAACCACTTGTTGCAGCCTATATGAAGTACCAGGTAAACATCTGCCTTTTGAACAAAATGATAATAGAAAGCCAACAGTTGGAGATCCAATTATCTACAGACCTAGCTCTCAGAGAATATAAAAGGTATTATGGGTTGACTGTGGCAAATGCTATTGTAATGAAAAAGAATCAGTCTGTACATATTCAAATATTGTCTGTACATAAGATCAGCTGTCATCAGGAATAGACAATTTCTTCTAATACATGACAAATGCTATTCATAGGGCATATTTCATGAGATAGCCACAGTGTAAGTTCTTGCCAATACTGCCCCAGTGAGTGAGATATTGTCCATGCTACTATGCAGTCTTGAAGGGATCTCAAAGAAAAATTACAAGTACAACACCAGGGCAAAGCATAGTAGTTAAGTAAAACTCTTTGTTTATGTTTAGATGAAATAGTGAAAATCAGTGTATTTGAAATCACAGCTTGAACATGAACTGCAATTCTAGAAATGAAAAGACTTTCATGTATACCTACAATGCTGCACTTTTTGAAAAAAGATACTAATTTTCCTAAGCAGACTCATAAAATGCCTCAAATCAGTTTAGCAATCTGCAGGGTTACAAAGATGGTTTTCATGGTCTGGCCATTTTGTATCTTCATTTTGGTGTTGTGATAGGTTTTAACAGATTCATCCTGGGGGGTCAAATTAGAAATCTGAATAAAACTCCTGTCATTTCAATTACAACTCAGCAGCAAAGTGATTTGAAATACTATTTGTAACATGAAAAAGACCAGTCAGCAACAACCACCCTTCTCTTCCTTAAGAGTTATAAATATATGTACGTGTTCAGTATTGAAACTCAGCCACTTAAGAAGGGAACGGCTTATTAGTGAGAGGTAATCAATATATGAATTAATGTTATACAACAATGGTAGACAACAATTGTGGCCCTCTGTGTGAAACTTTCCTTCTGTAGCCAAACATTCATTAGTATTCAGTTAGAAAAAAACAGCCCACAGTATACAAAGGCAGCCAAAGAAATATTTTGGGAGAGATTCAAAACACAGGACTATCCATATGCCATATATATATATTAACTATATTTAAATAACTGTAGTATTCAAGATATGGACAAATATCACTCATGGGGAGTATTGAATAGAAACAATACAAATTACAACTTCAATTGGAATTATGAAAAAGAAAAAGAAGACTTGGCAAACTTCTACAGACTGTGACAACCATTCCCCTTGGGATCGGCGATAAATACACGGAACAGTTTAGAATCAAGTAACTTAGGTTTGGGTGCTGAGCTCAGCAACATTTAAATAGCTTTAAAACTCTGAGCCTAAAGTTCAAAGCTGGATACCCAGCAAGAAAATCTAGACATGCTTATTGAGGAGAAACAAAAAGAAGAGTGGCTAAACATTAAGTTCAATTTTGGTGCACATTTCCCCAAAAATGGTAACAACATTGTCAACTATTTCTTAGGGAGGGAAGAGGCGGAATCCATAAAACGTGTGGTTTTTGTTTCAAACTAATTAACTGGACAAAACTGTAAACCAGAAGTTTCTTATTTAGCTAAAAACTATTAGTACTAATGACTTGTGGGTAGGATTAGCAATGAGCAACTCAACAAACAAATCACAAGGTTTTCCGGCCTGGGTCTTGCCTAAAGACAATGCAACTGGGCTGTGCTACTGAAGCAGAGGCTCTGTGGGATGTGTCTGAAGCAAGTAGGCTCACCTAAGCCTTGAAAGAGGTGATGAGCTTTAGGCAAGACCCAGGCAGGGAAAACTTTTGTGGTCTTAACCCATTTCTTATGGCTTCTTACCTGTACTTTGGGTGAATGGACAATATGTTTGTTTGGAAGGAGCTATTGTGAATCACTTTAATTTGCCACTGATCACAGGCTTCCAGAGAGAAATTGGGTCTGTCGGGTTAACATGGCTAGAAACAGGAGGGATGTCACTCCAGGATCAAGTCTAAGAGTGGTAGAACGGTGGGGTTCCACCCAGAGAGAGGTGAAGACAATGAAATCTGTCCTTTCAGGGGGTTCACTCATGAAGGACTGCAAGTGGGTGTAAGGCTCCGATCACCCTATAACCATGGCCATAGAGTGGGAATAGGGGATCTTATGTCCTGGTGATCCAGTTTAAAGTAGGGTTCCAGTTTGGGAGAATCATAGAAGATTAGGGTTGGAAGAGACCTCAGGGGGTCATCTAGTCCAACCTCCTACTCAAAGCAGGACCAACCCCAACTAAATCATCCCAGTCAGGGCTTTGTCAAGCCAGGCCTTAAAAACCTCTAAGGATGGAGATTCCACCACCTCCCAAGGCAACCAATTCCAGTGCTTCACCACCCTTCTAGTGAAACAGCTTTTCCTAATATCTAACCTAGACCTCCCCCACTGCAACTTGAGACCATTGCTCCTTGTTCTGTCATCTGCCACCACTGAGAACAGCCTAGCTCCATCCTATTTGGAACCCCCCTTCAGGTTGTTGAAGGCTGCTATCAAATCCCCCTTCACTCTTATTTTCTGCAGACTAAATAAGCCTAGTTCCCTCAGCCTCTCCTCCTAAGTCATGTGCCCCAGCCCCCTAATAATTTCCATTGCCCTCCGCTGGACTCTCTCCAATTTTTCCACATCCTTCCTGTAGTAGGGGGCCCAAAACTGGATGCAATACTCCAGATGTGGCTTCACCAGTGCCGAATAGAGGGGAATAATCACTTCCCTTCATCTGCTGGCAATGCTCCTTCTAATGAAGCCCAATATGCAGTTAGCATTCTTGGCAACAAGGGCACACTGTTGGCTCATATCTAGCTTCTCTTCCATGTCCTTTGATGCAGAACTGCTGCTTAGCCAGTCAGTTCCCAGCCTGTAGCATGGGATTTTTCCATCCTAAGTGCAGGACTCTGCACTTGTGCTTGTAAAACCTCACCAGATTTCTTTTGGTCCAATCCTCCAATTTGTCTAGGTCACTGTCATAAATATAAAGGAAAGGTGAATCACCTTTCTGTATACAGTGCTATAAAATCCCTCCTGGCCAGAGGCAAAACCCTTTCACCTGTAAAGGGTTAAGAAACTAAGGTATCCCCACTGGCACCTGACCCAAAATGACGAATGAGGGGACAAGATACTTTCAAATCTGGAGGGCGGGGGAACAAAGGGTTTGCTCTGTCTGTGTGATGCTTTTGCTGGGAACAGATCAGTAATGTAAGCCTTCCAACTCCTGTTAAATTAGTAAGTAATCTAGCTAGAAAATGCATTAGATTTTCTTTTGTTTACGGCTGGTAAAATAAGCTGTGCTGGAGGGAATGTATATTCCTGCTTTTGAGTCTTTTTGTAACTTAAGGTTTTGCCTAGAGGCATTCTCTATGTTTTGAATCTGATTACCCTGTAAAGTATTTACCATCCTGATTTTACAGAGGTGATTCTTTTACCTTTTCTTTAATTAAAATTCTTCTATTAAGAACCTGATTGTTTTTTCATTGTTCTTAAGATCCAAGAGTTTGGGTCTGTTTTCACCTGTACCAATTGGTGAGGATTATCATCAAGCCTTCCCCAGGAAAAGGGGTGTAGGGATTGGGGGGGATATTTGGGGGAAGACATCTCCAAGTGGTCTCTTTCCCTGTTTTTTGTTTAAAATGCTTGGTGGTGGCAGCATACTGTTTAAGGACGAGGCAAAGTTTGTACCTTGGGTAAGTTTTTAACCTAAGCTGGTAAGAATAAGCTTAGGGGGTCTTTCATGCAGGTCCCCACATCCGTACCCTAGAGTTCAGAGTGGGGAAGGAACCTTGACAGTCACTCTGGACCCTATCCTTACCCTCCAGAGTATCTACCTCTCCCCCCCCCACCCCAAGCTTAGTGTCATCTGCGAACTTGCTGAGGGTGCAATCCATTCCATTATCCAGATAATTAATGAAGATTTTGAACAAACCGGCCCCAGGACCAACCTTTGGGGCACTCCACTTGATACCGGCTGCCAACTAGACATTGAGCCATTGATCACTACCTGCTGAGCCCGATAATCTAGCCAGCTTTCTATCCACCTTATCTCTATCCATTCATCCAGCCCATACTTTAACTTGCTGGCAAAAATACTGTGGGAGACCATATCAAAAGCTTTGCTAAAGTCAAGTTATATGATGTCCACCGCTTTCCCCATATCCACAGAGCCAGTTATTTCATTATAGAAGGCAATCAGGTTTGTCAGGCATGACTTACCCTTGGTGAATCCATTTTGACTGTTCCTGATCAGCTTCCTCTCCTCCAAGTGCTTCAAAATGGATTCTTTGAGGAGCTGCTCCATGATTTTGCCGGGGATTGAGGTGAGGCTGTAGTTCCCTGGATTTTCCTTCTTCCCTTTTTTAAAGATGGGCACTATATTTGCCTTTTTCCAATTGTCCGGGATGTCCCCCGATCATCACGAATTTTCAGAAATAATGGCCAATGGTTCTGCAATCACATCAGCCAACTCCCTCAGCACCCTTGGATTCATTGCATCCAGCCCCATGGACTTGTGCACGTCCAGTTTTTCTAAATAGTCCTTAACCTGTTCTTTCAGCACTGAGGGCTGCTCACCTCCTCCCCATACAGTGCTGCCCAATGCAGCAGTCTGGGAGCTGACCTGGTCTGTGAAGATGGAAGCAAAAAAAGCATTGAGTACTTCAACTTTTTCCACATCATCTGTCACTAGGTTGCCTCCCCCATTCAATAAGGGTCCCACTTTCCCTAACCTTCTTCTTATTGCTAACATACCTGTAGAAACCCTTCTTGTTACCCTTCACACCCCTTGCTAGCTGCAACTCCAATTGTGCTTTGGCCTTCCTGATTACATCCCTGCATGCTTGAGCAATATTTTTATAATCCTCCCTAATCGTCTGTCCAAGTTTCCACTTCTTGTAAGCTTCCTTTTTGTGTTTAAGCTCACCGAAGATTTCTCTGTTAAGCCAACCTGGTCACCTGCCATATTTGCTATTCATTCTGCATATCAGGATGGTTTGTTCCTGTGCCCTCACTAAGGCTGCTTTAAAATACAGCCAGCTCTCCGTGACTCCTTTCACTCTCATATTAGCCTCTCAGGGAATCCCGACCATCAGTTACCTAAGTGAGTCAAAGTCTGCTTTTCTGAACTCCAGGGTCTGTATTCTGCTGCTTTGCTTTCTTCCTTTTATCAGGATCCTGAACTCGACCATCTCACGGTCACTGCTGCCTAGGTTGCCACCCACTTCTACTTCCCCTACCAATTCTTCCCTGTTTGTGAGCAGCAGGTCAAGAGGAGCACAGCCGCTAGTTGGTTCCTCCAGCACTTGCACCAGGAAGTTGTCCCCAACACTCTACAAAAACTTCCTGGATTGTCTGTGCACCGCTGTATTGCACTCCCAGCAGATGTCAGGGTGATTGAAGTCCCCCATGAGAACCAGAGAAGGGTGGGTAAAGATCTGTCACTTGAAAACACTGCCTAGGGGAAAGAGAGGGTGTGACGGGGTGCGACTTACCATGCTAGCACCTCCTGCTGGTCATCTTGCATATCATCTCTACAGGTTGGTACACTGACTTTCAGTGGTGTCTCACCTGCCATCAGTTCTAGTCCTGGACCCGTGTCGCTTTAAGGACCACAGTATCCTTTTCAGGACACAGGCCTCCAGCTGTGCCACACTCTGTGCTCCCTCCCACACACACACACACACTAGGGGAATGTACCGCAGTCCAACGATCCAGCCATTTCCTCAGTGGTGAGTTGGGGTGAGGTGTGGACCCGGGCCCCACTCAGTCCGGATCCCAGTCCAGGGACCCTGTAGATGGCAACCATGCTCTGCGTCTCCCCCAACCTCTCAGTCTACTTCCCTGGGCTGCTTCCCTGCAGCCCCAGCAACTTCCCTGCCCTTGTCTCAGGGCCTCAGCATGCCAGTCTTGGCAGTCAGCCAGAAGCTTACTCTCACTCCCCTGATCCTGCCCAGCTCAGCTCCTCCTGCAAGGTAGCCTGTCCTCCCTCCTTGAGCTCCAGGGAGCAACTAAACCTTCTCTTCCCTGCAGCTCCTCTGATACGGGCCTGCCTGGCCCTGATTGGCTGCTCCTCACAGCCCCTCTCCTATTGGCTGCTTTCTACACAGCCTCCCTAGGGCTTCATTAACCTCTTACCAGCCAGTGTGGAGCAGATGCCCCATCACAGTGAGGGAAAGAGCTCTGCTGAACTCACCTCTGAGCCATCACACCTGTGTTTATCTAGGCATGTCTAATGCACCAATCATTGTGAAATCTAAGTGCAAAATAATAAAGAATCACATAACAATAGATCATGCAGGATGAACATGTGCTCTACACTTCAATAGCTGCCATTGCTTAGATTTTTAAAAAAATATTTCCTCCTCTTACTTTATTCTCCCTCAACTTCAAACTAGTCCTACTTTTAGGGGGAAAAAAGTGTGTGCAAATTTTTCCATTTAGCTATGAATATGATTGGATTTGGGATCATTCTCATTTCCTCTGCTAGAATGGTCCACAGCTGAAACCCTGAGAATTCTTTTCTGCCAGTTTCCCCCTGAACTCTGTCAACCCTAGTTTCACCACTGAGTTCATATTCATTAGGAAATCACTGATGGAGAGGCAGTTTCTAAAGTAGTAAAGTCCTTGGACATGTAATGTTTTAAAGATCAGTACTAGTACCTTGAATTTGTCCAGTATTAAATACAGCATTTACCTCATCACAGGAGAGAAGCTGGAAGATTGAGCCTTGTGGGACTTTGTACAAGACCAACCCCAATGGAGGGGCTGAAGACAGGCACCGGTGACCACTTCCACCAAACCTCAAGAAATAAGCATGCCAGGGAAGGAATATGTAGCTACTGCCCTTCATCCCACATGTGCAGGACTTGGAAGTGAATGGAACTGCAAGAGGAATTTACATTGAGGACAAGCACTCAAGGTGGAACATAACTCAGATATCAGGGTCAATCGACACTCTTATGTAAATTCTTTCGTGACAAGATGGGAAAACCTTGTGGAGTTACAGGTTTTACAAAATTCTCAAATTATGTTTTTGGGAAGCATAAAACTAGTAGAAAACGAGAGGTCACAAACTTCCTCCTCAGTAATTTAAACCCATATCCAGTTGGTTACCTGGTTTGATCATGAGTGATTAAATTAGGGGAAGAACAGTATTTTTTTCTAGCTAGCTCTTCTCTTCCTCTCCCCGCAGTCCTGCCAAGTCGTATGTTCTATACTGTCATATATCCCCTATAACCAGACTGGGGCATTGGTTCAATACCACCCCATCAGGAAAACTCCCATTTACTGAATCACCAATATTGCTTTCTGCAGCACCTGTGTTTTTCTTGAAAGTTTTTCCATGATTAGACCCAACATGGCTTAGCTTATAAAATTTGACACATTTATAGCCCAAGGTTGCAAGACCATGAATATTTGTAAACCTTTTTGCCAAACATACTTAAAGGTGTTTCACAGCATGGCTTCATATTAGCGATGTCCCCACCTGTGGGGATTGCTCAAACAACACAGCTTATTTGCAGAGTCTGGTCAGTTCCCAAATGCATTATGTTTACCAACCTGCAAAACATAGACTGCCTGGAGTGGTGTCACAGCTGATTAACTGGGTCTGCAAAAAAATTTCCATTAGTACTACTGTCCCCAGTGGAGATAACATTTCAGTTATGAAGTCACCTCACAATTAGTTCCCGGGTACACAGTTATTTGGTGGGGGGAGGGGGGCTCCCTTGAATATAGGTCAGCATTAGGTTGCACAATGCAATCACATCATCATTTACAAAGGTAGTTAGAATTTTAAAAACAACACAGTGAAAGATTTTCCTTATTTATGTTACAACTTAGGGAAACGTAATTGCTGCACCAAACAACAGGCTGGGAGCCTTTGAGAACAGAGTTGTGTGAAAACTGTTGTAAGTGAAATAAAAACTAGATCTGGGTGAAATATGTATAAAGGAAAAGAAAATGTCTTGTTCCTCCCCCATCCCCCGTACCAATTAAAATTTTACCTGGTTTTGAGTTCATGAAATTTCTGTGAACTTATTGAAGTCATATATCATTTCATGGAAAATGTTTTTCACTATCTGAATTAAATGTCATTTTTATGTGAAAATCCACATTTTTTAAAAATGTTGAATAAGTTGTCAGACAGAGGAGAGGGAGCTCTCCAGGGTGGAGGGGGTTAAGTACAAGTCTGCAAATCAGGGTGCTGTATGTTCTGTCTCCACCTTTTCCATTGAGCTCCACCTACACTAGCTAAGCCCAAGTTAAACTCAACCATTTTTCCTAGTTAAGACAAAGCCATGGTTTCCAGTATTGGCACTTTACAATCTCTGATCCTGCAGACTCTTGCTCACATGTATTAAGATGTGCATTAAGAAGGTAAATATTGTCTTTACCTTTTTATAGATGGCAAACTGAGACTTCAGCTTGGTCTACTCTACCAAGTTAGGTTGACCTAAGTATATCACTATGGGCTGTGAAAAATTTTATACCTTGAGCAATGTAGTTAAGCCAACCTAAGCGCTGGTGTAGACACTGCTAGGTCAAAGGATGAATTCTACTGACACAGATACCACTTCCCAGAGAGGTAGGTTTACTACAGTGATGGAAGAACTCCTTCCATCGCTGTAGTAAGTGCCATTGTAGTGCTTCTAGTGTATATACCTAAGGTCCAAGGCAGTGGCAGCGCCAGGATTAGAACCCAGGGGTGAAATCTTGGCCCTACTAAATTCAATGGGAGTTTTCCCATTGATTTCAATACAGCCAATATATCACTCCCATTCCTAGTCCAAAACCATTAAACCACTCTTCCCCTGTGTAAGGGCCCAGGGCCCAGAGCCCAGCACAGCTGATATTCCCACAGTGCCACCAGGAGGCCATGCAAAGGCACAGCCAAGGACCACTGTGGAGAGTAGGCACCACAGGAAGTGCCATCCAAGAGACCCAGAGTGACTAGGGTTATCAATTTGGGTTGGATGTATTCCTAGTGGTTTCATCACAACATAGTCTTTAATTAAAGATTCATCTTTAATTCTTGGAGACTCCAGGACAATCCTGGAGGGTTGGCAACCCTAACTGTGACAGTACCCTGCAGCTCTCTGATTGGGCAAGCCCCCTTCTTAGCCCGAGAGGTTCCCCCAGGAAATTGTCTGGGCAATCACACAGACCTTGGCTGCTGCAATGCCAGACGCTGCTTGATTTCCTGATCTCCAGCCTGACTCTGACCCTGATTCCTGCCTCTTTAGTCTAACCTCGTACTGCCTCTGACTACAGCCTGACAGTGACCCTGACTCTCGCTTCCTGATTCCAGCCTGCTACTACCTCTGGTCTCTGACACTGGCCTGACTGTTGCTTACAGAACCTGGCTCTTGCAATTCCCCCAGCTCAAGCCTAGTGACTACTGCCCCTGGTGGGCAGAATTTTGCACAGCTGTGACTGCCAGCCCAGTCTGCCTAAGCGCACTGAGTCCCCCCCCCCTCATTACACCCTGCAAGTCATACTACCTCTCAAACTCTATTCCTATTTTCTGTATCTGAAAGACAAGATGATGTTGAACTACTAAATAATATTTGTAAATTATTACTGATTACTGGAACGGATATCAGG